TACATACACGTTGCAAGGTATCACAAGTTGTTCAGCCCATACCATATACTGTTAAGTGCATGAATGAATGTCCTAGACCTCCTCTCTCCCCATCCTCCTGGTCACGTCACTATTAACCCCTTCCCGCCTGGAGTACTCACACACATAGGCCTATGTTTGACATGGGGTTCAGACAGAACCTCTAAAAATGCAGTTGATCACCCAGGGCCCATAAAGCCACCTGGCACATGCTGTGTAAGGGGGCTTTCTCTCACCTTCAGGCGGGGATTCCTTTTCCTCCATCACCACCCACTTCAGAGCTGACCAGGCTTGCACAAGTAAAGGACATTACTCTCCTTTCTCTCCCGAAGTATTGACTGAACTTAAAGAGGAACTTCATCCTCCCCTCCATTTAGTCTTTGCTTACCCGATGCAGGGTTGTTCTCAATTCAGATACTTACCCACCCAGTAGTTCCAGAGTTGTCCATCTAAGATCTTCTTCTGTTCTGCCACCGCTCAGGTCCTGACTCACCATGTTTTTGTGTGATGTAATTGGGAGGCTGCCAACTCTTCTGGGTTCAGGCCAACACCTCCAATGATGCACATGCCCCCCCCTCCTTATATGAATGGAAGACTATGCGAATGACATCACATATCCTGGGAGGCACTGGGAGCACTGCACATCATTTGCTTAACTGAGAAGGAAAGATGGAGAAGGGCCGAAAACTTGGTAAGGAAAAAAATATTTTAAAAAAGCGATGTAGGTAGTGTGAGGGGGAGGTTTGGAAAGGAGGAAACATTTTTCAGCATTAAAATCTGCTTTAAAAAATGTACTTCTAGGTCATTACACAGAGGTTCTTTGTGCAAGAAAACTTCTTTACTTGCAGGAGATAGTAGAACAGAGTGATACAATCCAAATTCTACCATACATTGTCAGATAAAGAAATCTTCAGTCTTACATAAACATGGTTCTTCAGGCTTTTCTGGAGCAATGTGGCAGTTTAGTTCATCTTCATTCACCTCAAAACGTATGGAATAGTACAGAGGCCATCACTCCCCAGAAGAGAAGAGCAAAGGGAAAACACCAAGGACACTTTTCATTAGCAAGACATGCTTTCAGAACCGTCTGATCACTAGAGCCAGCTCCACTCACCCATCACAACAGGGACCGGGTGAGTGGTCCTATCTAATAATAATTGGGCTGCTTAACAGAAATGTACATATCCCAGCACAATCATTTAAAAAACACTCTCATTATATATGCTTTTCTGCACATGAACTACCTTCAAGAAGAACCTAATTAAAATGGTCAGTGATTACTTAGCAACAATTAGTTGCTGAGACAATAAACAAACACTTTGGTCAGGAGCAGGGGCGGACTGACCATTTGGAAACTCGGGCGCTGCCGAGGGCCTGGGGCCAGTACGGGGCCCCAAGAGATGCCCCTGGTACCTTTTTCATAGGCTTTTTTGAGTTTGGGCAAGGACACAGGGGCCCCATGATCCCTGTTGCCCGGGGGCCCCATGAGTTGTCAGTCCACCCCTGGTCAGGAGTACATAATGTATATTATAGCATTAGGAGTGCAGTGGTCAGCACTATGATATGTAGGATATAGTGTATATAGGCAGGGGTCAGGAGTGCGTAAGGCAGAGGTAGGCAACCTTAAAGAGGTAGAGATCTACCCGAACATCAGTGGAGAAGGCAAAGATCTCCGGGCACAGTGTTGCCTATTCACACCTAATTCAATCCTTAAATTGCCATACTACCGTCTTGCAGTCGCGTGCATTGCATGACAATCATGGGTTTAAATCAGGTGATAAGGAGGCCTCATTCACGTGATTCATGTGGTTCATGCTTGGCAGGTGCTACACCCACCAACCATGACAGGAAGTAGCACTCCTGTTGTGGCATGTGTACACCCCTGGCCATTACACCTAAAGGATGTGCGGTTGGGGCAGGGGTGGTACAAACACATCTTTTTTTTTTTTTCCAAAAAAGTATTTTTATTGAAATATGAAAGGCATATCAAGTCATATACAGATACGGATCACAGGCCGCGCATATACATCTTGCATGTTCTCCGTAACGCAGACAGGTCATAAGACGTTTGTTTAAAGTGCGAATCATCTTGAGGCAAAATATCATAATATAACAGATGCATAATATAAATCAGTAGCAATAACACATCTTAACTATGAGGTTTTACCTCCCTCCAAACTGAAAATGTACATGAACCCTTACTGTTCTGAACCCTCTATAAGGCTGCTCTGGTTTATCCGCATCTACGACTTTCCTGGGTTAGTTGCGCTTTGCCATTGGCTTCTATTATATCCTGCAGGTGTGGTGAACTTTCTGAAAACGCACCAAAACTCCTGCATTCAGGAGTTTTGGCGTGCTTTCAAAAAGTGCACCAAACCTGCAGGATATAATAGAAGTCTATAGCTAAGCACATCAAACTCGCAGAAAAGCTGCAGGTACACTGCACTCACGGGGTGGGTAAACCGCAGCACAGTGTGAAAGCAGTCCTATACTATTATGCCCAATATATTGCTTTACACTGACCCAAATATCTCTTCTTTCCTGGTGGTAACACCATTCTAGAGACCGCTAGCCGAGAGAAGAGGTGAAGTGCAGTTAGTATCACTCCAAATGGGACAGGAGCCAGTACTATAGAGGAGGCATCTGCTTATGCAGCTCTTGCTCCCCTCTACAGCTCCAACTTTACAAGTAGCCCCTCTGTATTGCACTCTGTTTGATTCTCTGGAATGGTGGGTCAGCAAGGCCAGACCATGATCTACTAGTCACCTTGCCGCTATCTATTGGTAGATACAGGTTGCTGATCCCTGTGTAAGGTATATGGCATACACACAGGGGTCAGGAGTCCAAAGAACATATGGCTCAGCGTTGTGTAATGCACAAAGTGAAGGAGTCCAGAGTGCATAACACACAGGTCTCAGGAGTGTGTAGCACACAAAGAACAGGGTTTGGGAGTGTGTACTGTAGTATACAGAGTGTAAAGTTCAGGAGTGTGTAAGGCACAGAGTGCAGAGGTCAGGAGTGTGTAAGGCACAGAGTGCAGAGGTCAGGAGTGTGTAAGGCACAGAGTGCAGAGGTCAGGAGTGTACAACACACAGAGCACAGGGTTCAGGACTGTCTAAAGCAGAAAGCAAATAGTTCAGGGGTGCTTAACACACAGAGTGCAGTGCGCAGAGGTCAGGAGTATGTAACAGAGTGTACGGCTCAAGAATGTTAAGCAAAGAGGGTAGGGGTCACCAGTGTGTAACTCACAGACTTTAGGACAGGCACAGACTTCACAGGCTTTAGGAGTGCATAATGCACAGTGCTCAGGGGTCAGGAGTGTGTAAGGCACAGAAGACAGGTCAGGAGTGTGTAAACAACATTCCTCAAACTGTTATCACTAATCCTACTACTACTATTTTCAGCAAAATACTCTGGCTGCTTTGCCCACTTTGTGGGAATAATCCTGAAATCATTGGCCATGAATGGCTCATCTAACTGTGTGAGTTCCTCTATTTTCCTTTTTCTATATCTATTGTATGCATTTTGACCGTTAGTGCAATGACAATAATAATGAGAATGATAGTATAATAATTTTTAATGAAGAGATTAATTAGCTAATTGGTCATTTTTAATTTTTAAACTTTTATCCATGTATTTACAAGCTGTACGTATTAATGAATGAATTTTTGTAGTATTAATTGATTTCATATATGTATATACGGTATATTTCTATTCTATCCTTTATGTCTACTATTTATATGGTTTTATGAAATCTTGATGATTATTTATTGCATCTTGGTGACACCCGAGCCCCTCCTCCCTGCCCAGGACAGCCCAACCCATTGGGGAGGGCCTTATTTCAGTCTGGAGGCATAAATGGGAACATACACTCTCAGTCTAGTCAGCTCTGAGGAAGAAGGCTTGTCCTTCGAAACGCGTCAGCTGTACTGAGTGGCTTCCTCCATGATGGGATTCGCATTTGCATCTTGCCTTTAAAGTCCCTTTGAGGACTTACATGCCTGTTTTTATTCGCTGTTTGTGAGTACCATTCTTTTATTCAATAAATTTTGGTTACTGAGGTAATGCGCAAGGTTGGTGCTCTTCTTTTTGTTGTTCTTCCTCACAGTTTCGTTTGGGCTTCCCCAGCCTTGGTGTGGAGCTGCACGACCTTGTCTATTTCGGTGGTTCCTTCCTTTTTTGGAGTTTGTTCCATCTACTCACCACCGGTCTGGGTCCTGGAGCGCAGGAGATATTGCATTTTGTTCATTGTCAGGAGTGTGTAAATAACAGACATCAGGGATCAGGAGTATGTACACAGAGGTCAAGGGTACATAATGCAGAGTGCAGTGGTCAGTACTTAACACACAGGCCAGTTTACAACTCTCAGTACAAATCAGTAGCCAGTACATATCTCTCACCTCCCTTCTTTCCCCTCGACCCCCTAGTACAGTTACCTCCCCCCAAATCTCTCCCAGTATAGACCTCCACTCCCCCATATTGCCCCCAGTACACATCCCTTCTTCCCACCAAAAATTCCCCACGGTACAATGCCCCCCCCCCCCCCCTTAAAATCCTCCTTAGTACAGATTATTCCCCAGTATAGAGATCTAAGCCCTCTCTGCATATCAGAGCTAGGGAGAAACTTAGGGCAGCCTTCCATAGCTCTGTGCATTCACAGTATTTGAAGTCTGACAGGCAGAACAAGCCAGCAAGTGTAGTCCAAATGGCGCACACCCTACCCCGGAAACGCAAAACCACGTATATTTACATGATTTTGCCCAGCAAAGCCGCCCTGTAGCAGTACATCTGTGTAAGTGGGTAATTACGGTACACTCTGTTTCACCTGCTATACAAAGTCACGCCAAAGCAAAATTGCAGGGAAAGACCAAACTTGCAAAGAAGTTTATTATCCACCAGATATCTAACACTTTTCTCATTTGATGGCTATTTTTTTTTTTACGTCAAGTAGTATTAGCTCTTTATTTTTAATATAAAAGTACCTTTTTTGTTATGATTCTCTTTTTCATTTTCTTCAGAGTCACGCTGCCAAATGGTTTTCTGATCAATATCAAATGGGCCTTTTCTTGACTCATATTTCTGTTCACTTTCCTCCTCGTTAAAGTCTTCATGGGTCATGTAGTCTGGCACATTTCTCAGTGGCGCACTGTCATGACAAGATATTTATACAAGAATATTAATACATTTATATTCATTATTGGTATATAATTAAAAATAAACATTCAAGCAATCACAAATTAAATTAGAACTAAAAGCAAAACTTTTTTTTCATTTTGGATAGAGTAAGGGAGGGTAATAACCCCTACCAGATTATCTTTTGCCATCTGTGTCCCATTGGGGGAGTTACTTTCACTTCCTGTCTCATACTCAAAACAGGAAGTGAGAGGAAATCCCTTCAAAATTAGGGAATTCCTTGGGGCCCCCTAGGTCACCAGAACTAGTGTCCCTATTGGAAGATTCCCCTCTATTACTTTTCTGGGGACAAACCAAAATATGGAGTTTCTTTTATTTTCACTTGCTATTTGTCCTGTTTACTGTTATCATTGTGAGGGGAAATCTCCCTAACAGGGGCACAGACAGCAATACAAACCTGACAGGGGTTCTTATCCACCTCCACTCTATCCAAAACTTAAAAAAATAAAATGTTTTGCCTGTGGTTCACATTAAATCTAATGTATTCAACTTATTTTTGTTGGCAAAAGAACATAGACTATACTTCTTTTTATATTTAAATCCACTATGAGATTTTTGTTGCAGTTTTTCCACATTAGAGTCCTCCCTTCCTGTCCTAGTGATGTCAATGAAGCAGAAAAAGATACACCCTCCAGCCAAAACGTTTCATTTTTCTTGGAAGACTTGGATGAATTGTCTGGAAGATCCTTCAAGGTTACCACTTTGTTCTTAGTAACCATGTCATAGTGTACAGGGGAAAAATCTAATTGGAACCTTTTATGCTGAACAATGCTTTTATGTACAGCACAATTTAAAGCAAACTTGATATGGCCTAAACATTTCCATGGAGAACAGTACAAGTACCTATATTAGTCTTCAAACCAGTCTGTGTGTGTGTATGTAGCTTTCTGGAGCCTAAGCGAAGAGTGCACACAGAACATCATCTTTTCTCCAAATAACCAGCAAACACAAATGCTCCTGCGCTTGGGGATGGACTCGATGCAGGCTACAACCACATTAAGAATGTCCTGGAACATGCACACCTTGCTGCCCTCAAATGGACCGGGGGAATCCAAATATACTGAATGGGGAAAGAACAAAGAGGCACAGGCCTAGTGCATTACCATAAAAAATGTTTAATAAAAAATAAAGTAGGTGTTGTACTCACAAACGACAATATAGTCAAGGCACATCATAAAAGAACAGCTGGGTCAACACCGCGCTGAGTAACAGTCCGCAATAGGGAGTTTAGACATCCAAAAGGCTGACGTGTTTCGAGGACTTGCCTCTTCCTCAGAGCCATTAAACCCTTCCTTGTTCTGACACTAACTGCACCTCCTGTTATTTTACTGTAAAATGCCAGTGCCTCGAATACTTACTGAGGGTCCAGCTGATGACAGGAGGGAGAGCTTAGTGTTCGTATAGGGCAGCATCTGAACTCAACTTGGAGAAAATGTAAGGCCCTATCCAGGGGTGGACTGACAACTCATGGGGACCCCGGGCAATAGGGGATCATGGGGCCCCTGTGTCCTTGCCCAAACTCAAAAAAGCCTATGAAAAAGGTACCAGGGGCATCTCATGGGGCCCCCTACTGACCCCAGGCCCTCGGGCAGCGCCCGAGTTTCCAAATGGTCAGTCCGCCCCTGGCCCTAACTATTGCCTTTGGGATCCATGGGGTTCCCTAAGAAATCAAAGACTGAAAGGCTAACAAGGGTGCTTGCAGGCTGCAGTACTGTTGTTCTGGTGCTTGTACTATTGTCACTTTTCAGGCCATGTGATGTTCATTTTAAAAGCATAACTATAGTCATCAATACATTAACCCTATGTGCCCCTTTCACCGTTTCCATACCATTAGTAGCCCCCATCTACAAACCTGAAATCAACAAGCACCCTGGACAAAAAGGTCAACCCCAGGCCAGGCAATGCTCTATTTCTCCAGAGACTCTACCTCAGGGGTATTGAATGGAAATTCATGGAAGTCCAGTTAGTAAAATTTTCTTCCAGCGAAGGTCTGAATGTTTGTGCAATGGCTCAGATCCTTCACATCACAGCCCCCCTCTTTTTAGATTATAATCCTGTTCTTATCTCAGTGCCCCCGTGCACATCAAAATCCCCCTTTACATCACAGCCCCACTTCATGCCATAGTCCCTCCCTCACATAGTTACATAGTTACATAGTTAGACTGGCTGAAAAAAGACAAAAGTCCATCCAGTTCAACCATTAAAAGAAAAAAAAAAGTGATAATCCTATACCTACAGTTGATCCAGATGAAGGCAAAAAAAACCAGCAAAGCGTAATCCAATTTGCTCCTGCAGGGAAAAAAATTCCTTCCTGATCCCCCGAGAGGCAATCAAATATTCCCTGGATTAACTTTACCTATAAATATTTCCCAACCCATTCTCTCCCCCCCCCTTTTAATTTTTTTCTTTTTCTCTCTTCCTTCTTCCTTTCCTATCTATATACTTACCTTTATCATCACACTCCTCTATTTACTAACTAACCTTTTCTCTACCTGAGCTCTAGCTCCCATCTATATCCTACTCATATCTTCACTTTCGTACCATAACCGATACAGAACGCTGTCCTTCAAACAGACTTACTACGCCCCATATCATTTACACATCCAATGCTTGGACACACGAAACAGATCTAAAGCTGTAGCGTGTGCTGTTCATATTCAATATCACATACTTCACACTTCCCTGACAGAAAATCTTGCTCAAAGGTAAAAAAGACAATATACCTCTCTGCTCACTTCATATATGACGTACATTTCCTGGTTTGTAATATTATGTTGAAACAATGCTTTACAAAACGTTGTGTTTTGTATTGCCTGTTATGATTTGACCTGTCTGCGACACGGGAGTCGACATACAGTGCCATGTCCAACTTTGGATTCACATCTGTATATGTATTGTTCTGTGCTTTTTTCTAATAAAAATCTTTTTTGGAAAAAACTTTACCTATAAATGTTAGTATCCAGTTATATTCTTTGTATCTAAGAAAGAATCCAGGCCTATATTAAAGCAATCTACTGAGCTGGCCAGAACCAACTCTTGAGGGAGTCTATTCTACATATTCACAGCTCTCACTGTGAAGAAACCTTTCCGTTTTTGGAGATTACATTTCTTTTCCTCCAGACATAAAGCGTGCCCCCTTGTCCTCTGTGATGACCTCAGGGTGAATAGCTCTACACCGAGTTCACTATATGAACCACTGATGTATTTATACATGTAGATCATATCCCCCCTTAATCTCCTAATCTCAAGAGAGAATAAATTCAGTTCCTCTAATCATTCCTCATAGCTGAGCTCCTCCATGCCTCTTATCAGTTTGGTTGCCCTTCTCTGTACTTTCTCCAGTTCCCAAATGTTCTTTTTGTGAATTGGTGCCCAAAACTGAACTACATATTCCAGATGAGGTGTTACTAATGATTTGTACAGGGGTATTATGATATCTCTCTCTCTGGAGTCTACACCTCTTTTAATACAAGAGAGGATTTTGCTCGCTTTAGAAACCGCAGCTTTGCATTGCATGCCATTATTAAGCTTGTGATCTTCCAGAACCCCCAGATCCTTCACCACCATTGATTCCCCCAATTGTACCCCCCCAGTATGTATGCTGCATGCATATTCTTAGCCCCCGAGTGCATAACCTTACATTTATCAACATTAAACCTCTTTTGCCACATTGTTGCCCAATTAAACAGCGACACATCAAGATTTCCCCTTTATTTCATATTCCCCCTCTTCAAAGCAGTGTCCTCAGCACGCCTTCACAGTAATGTTCTCAGCCCTCATTTACATACCCCCCCCCCCAGCCTTTTCACAGTAGTGTTCTCACCTCCCCTGCACATCACACACCCCCCCGGTGGTAGTATTCTCAGCCCCCCCCCCCCCCCACAGTAGTATCCTCTGCACCCGTTCACATCACTCCACCTTCACTGCAGTGTCCTCTGCCCCCCTTCATATCATCCCCACACAGTGGTGTTCTTAGTCCCCCAACACATCACCACCCACCCCCACATCCTTCACAGTAGTGTCCTCAGCCCCCTTCATATCCTTCACAGCAATGTCTTAGCCCTCCTCCCTGTCCTACCTCACACAGGTACACAGGGCAGAGGGCAGGGGGCACAGCATATCTGGATAGAGGATGGGAGCTGCACAACCACCCTGGACACAGGATGGTCTTGCAGCTCCTGTCTGGATGAAGGGAGGCACTGCAAGACCACCCTGCCTCCTACCAACCAATCACCCCTTGGTTAACTTCAAAAGTTAACTCAGGCAGCTTACATCTTCCCTCCAGAGGTAATCTGCCTCCAGATGACCTCTCTACTGTGAGGATGTCTCTACCGCTACTTGCTGTCCCTGACAGGCAGAGTCTCTTTCCCTACAATAGCCACTTGAAAAATGCATGCCAAAATCCAGGGGCTTAAATAGACCCTGCTGACCCAAGATGGCCACCAAGGGTCACATGGCTGCTTTGTAGCCAACCAGATAGCCGCTCCAATTGACCCAGGAAATGATAGAGAAACCAGGTTTCCCTATGACTTCCTCTCCAGGCTGTGGAGAAAACACACTGCACCTGACTACATGCTACTTATTAGCCAATGTATGTTCGGACACTAGCATATACACACTTTGGCAAACCACAGTTATTTGTAAATGAAACACACATATGTGGGCACATATAAACATTATGGGGTTGATTTACAAAAAGAGGAGAGTGCAAAATCTGGTGCAGCTGTGCATGGTAGCTAAACAGCTTCTAACTTCAGCTTGTTCAATTAAGGGTTGAGAAAAAAAGAACCTGGAAGCTGATTGGTTTCTATGCACAGCTGCATCAGATTTTGCACTCTAGTTTTAGTAAATCAACCCCTACAAGTATGTGATTTGGATGTCCGTTTGATGTACAATTATAGACTCATCTTTAATAAATCAAGCAGTGTCTCCCAAATCATTATAATTAGCTTT